CCCCGCCGAAGCCCCAGCGGGCAAGAGCCTCTCCAAACGGAGAGTCTGAACAGCTGAGTCTACCTGCTTTCCTCAGCGAGAGCACTTTTTGATCACCTCGCTCTAGCCAATCATTAACATTTTGAGATGTTACAGGAACTCAGTATCTTGGAGTCTTTTATCCTTCTGTGAAATCTGGTTGCAGTTGGCTAATGGGTTATGAAGGAGGGAACTCACAAGCAGATAGAAGACAGATGGGTTCTTGGGGATAATTACAAAATAACCAAGCTAGAAGTACAAAATGACCAAGCACTAAAGAGATCAAAGGAAATCTGTTCTGATGAAAGACAGATCTAGCACTGTTCTGGGAAGAAACCTTTTTTTAATATATCTTCTGGGAGAATATTTCATAGTTTGAGAGACAGTCGGCTCAGCCACCAAGAAAACAATGCAAGCTTTCTAGGGACCAAGGGTGTCTACGGCCTGCCAAGGCTAGATCTCTATTGACAATGCAGGACGTAACAGCACATAGTATATTTTTTCCATTAGCATACCTAAGCCTTCCAACTTTTACAAAAACCTACCGTAAAATCCATTTTGGACTGTGCTGGTGCCATACTGAGCCCTCCAGAGGAATGGATCTAGTGCTTGGGCTATCTTAGGATCCTCTGGCCCTAATAAATCTATCAGCTTCTTCACAGCATTTGGCCTCTGAAGACACAGCACGAGAGCAGTGCCTGAGGTAAGGTAGGTACAATGAGCTTCTAAACCAGCAGGATCCTGAAAAGAAACAACAGAGAAGGAACAGGTTATAATGAACAGTGTTGGCAAGCACGGGGTACATCCCAGATTTCCTTTGGCTAGACCCATTCCTGTTTGAAGCAAACAGATCTGCCATCGCTCCTTGCTTTCTCTCCTCTTTGTGATATTTGTGCTAGTTGTCTCTGCAAGCAGAGCTTCCAGGTATATACCACAGCTACCGAGACAGTATTTGTCGTGACATCCACCAGGCAACAGGAGGCCTAGTTCCCACCCCGAGTCCACACAGAGCTAAAGAAAAAGTCAAGCACCGAGCTTAAGCCGTAGCAGCTCGTGGTTTTAGTCCCCATGGTCATAGATCAGCCAATGGTAATTTTTATACAAACAACTTTAGCAGTGATTTCCTAAAATCTTTTAGTAAGAAAGGAAACAGGATTCTACTTCTAAAAGGCAGAAAAGCCTTGTGCTATGACTTGTTCTGCACATCTGTACACGCTAGGTACCGGAGATGGAACTCATTTTCAGGGGGTAAGGACAAAACCAAATTGCTACACTGCAGTTTTCTTGTCTACTACTAAACTTTTGATTTATGTAATTCCCTTTTCACACCTTCGGTGTGACATATGCAGAGGGTGGAACCAACAGACATTAGCAATATCAACAGGGTCATAAATGCTCTGGGATAAGGAGCCACATTTAATTCTTCTGCTAATATAAAATGATGGATTAGAAATACCAGAACTTTTCTTTTTGAATTCATGAAAGGAAGTACCCCCACTCCCACCTTGCTGCTACAACCCAGCTTCTCCCAGAGGGTGGTAGAATTTCATACACCAGTTAGGATCAGAAATAGCAAGCTTAAAACAAGGAGGCTCAGGACAGGGCACAAGACAGGGGCTGAAAGAAGACAGTTCACCCTCCTGGCTCTGCCACTGATGCATCGCGCCCCATGAAAAATTTCTCTACCTTTGCTTCTTTTCTAGGTGTTGTTGGTTCAGCCTGTCACCACTCCTGAGCAGAGGTGTTCCTCTTGTAGCTGTGCAGGTTACAACACCCTGAGATTTAAGTTTTACCTAAGGTTGGGCAGTAATGATAACTAGCAACAGCTGCACCAGTGAGAGGAGCGTGATTTGTAGCTGGAGACAGACATAATGATAGAGAAGCACAGGGAAAGGTAACAAGCGCCCAGGGCAGAAGGCTACCGGGGGGGCAAGCAGGGCACTCACAGCCTTGCTGACTGTTTTAATTAAGCAAAACCTTGGAAAGCCAGGCCTGTTGCAGATGTGTCTGCTAAGGGTGAGGTCAGGGTGACCATAGCAGCTGCAGGCTGCCTCCTCCTGCCCCCTTCATCTTAATAAAGCAGCAGGAGCACCCAGCTCTGCCCCCCCGCACCCTACGACACCGCAACACCCGTGCCACCGAGAAGCTCCACGCCAGCGCTGTATGTTCTGTACAGCCTACAAGCAGCAGCAGTTTCAGCTCACGGGCTGGACCAATCCATGGTTATTTACTTTTCTGAATTTTTGCAGAAATGAAAACATGGGGGAAAAAACCCCACTATTTGATTCAGCTGCATCCAATCATTCAGCCCCCTAAAAGTTTTAATTCCTCTATTTTTTAATCTCCTAAAAGCACCAGAGTATGGCAATTCTCTAGATAAAACATTTCCAAAAGAAAAACCCAACATTTCATTTAAAAATATGGAGATAAACTACTTCAAGGCCTCTTTTACTTTTCTATCATATGAAACCATTCACTGCCTTTGACCCAAATCTTCTCTCCCTCGCATTCCTCCTAAACTGCATTTCTAAGAAGCAGGCTATAAATTGAAAACCACGGGCTCAATCCTGATATTCTCCCCTGCATTTGAAAATGCAAAATGATCCATGAGAAAGCCTCCCTGTCCTTAAATTGGTTAGGTATGTGAGGGGTTTGACAGGAGTTGTGATGTGTGTCCATCCTCCCAGCCCCTGGGAACACACGGCAAAGGAAACCCTGGGACGTCGGTCACGTCTCGTGACTGCGCAGGCAAAAGGTACAGGCAAATTTCACAGATGATGAGAGCTCTGTTTAGATGAGGATGAAGAGTTTCACCATGCCATAGCATATTGCAAAATTCTGATGTTCATTCAATTCTGTATAATACAAAATAAACCCTTTTTGCTTGAAAATTTTGGTTAGCTTAAAAATATATACATAATCCACTTTTTTCTAAGGGCCTTCTCTCTTTGGGAGATGAAAAATGGCGATGATGACTCATGAAAACTTTCAAAAGGATGGATATAACGTATCAACATTCATCCAGGTCAGAAACATCTGCAAAAGAAAACGTTCAAAGACATAGTTTCTGTTAAACAGACCATAATAAATGAAATTATTTTGTTCCAGAGCTTCTAAACAGGGCTTTTAGATCTACATAACACAACTCTTCTGTCTCTCTTTCCTGTCTTTCAGTTGTTGCCCAGCAAACGCGCAGACTGTGGCTTACAGACGACGCTGTTGCTAATTGCTACCAATGGTGTCAGTGAGTCAAGGTGACATCTTTCCTTCTGATAGATCCTCGCATCCGCTCCAGACTCCGCCAGCCAAATGATGCCTTTATTTACATCCTGCCTCCGCACCGTCTTCAAACCGTGTCCGTGCTGACACCCGAGCAGCTGCGGGGAGATTGCACATGTGCAGCTGACTTGATTTCAGTGAGCAATTTTGTCGATGCACACAGAGAGGAAGTTCCAGCTGTGCGCCGGCTCTGGAGCACTAACAGGATTAAAAAGCAGCAAAATTCTCCTTCTGCCTCTGCCGTTAGAATCACAGGATAGGACTGGAGGGAATCCGTCGAGTTATTGAGTCCAGTGACCTGCTACTGCCGGCAATCATATCAAATAATCCCCAACAGAACGATCAGGTCCCGCTGTAAGATCAGGCTTTCTAGCTAGCAGCCAAAACTGCAGATCTCTGCAGGACTGGATCTGCTGGATAAGCGCAGAAAGGAGATACAGCCTCTGCAGGCAGAACTCCCTCTGGGAGCAGTCGCTTCTCGCAGTCTGAACACGATCAGGTCATGCTAGGAGCTGAGAAGACAATGTCAGCTCTATGTACCTGACCTTTATTTTTTTTTTTTTTAATTGTTATTAAACTTCAGATAAAAAGCATTATCATGGCTCCTGTGATTAGATAACCTCAGCAAACAGCAGACCAATCCATTATTCATTGTATGCCAAAGGCCAAAAGCTACTTAGAAGCTGAATGTTAGTATTTGAGTTGAAAAAGCAACCGTGTCTGAAATCATGTTGCTGAGGGTATTTGTCAACGTGCATGTAAATAACACGTTTGGAAGAGGAAGGAGATGCTAGATAGCCCTGCTACCAGTGAATAAACCCCAAATCTGCTCTCAAGTACTATGTACACAAACCAAACTGGCACATTGCAGAGCACATGGGAGTTTTCTAAAGATTTTTGGAGATAGATTTTGGATAAGGCTACAGATGAGGAGGAGATAAAGCGCCCTGGACAGAATTTCTAGAAGGGTCAGACATACTGGCTCCACGTTCTTCAACAGCAGATGCTAAATTTCAGCAATTTGCCCCCACATTAAGAGCCTCATTTTAAAACCAGCATTGCATGCCGTTGTCCCCTAAACTGAGAAACAGATCAAAAATGAACATCACCTCAATTCAAATGCTTTACGTGAAATTCAGCTGTGAAAAATAGTTCTGCCCCCACCAGCTGCCACTGTGACACTTACAAGCCAGATTTTCAAAATAACCCAATCCCTGAAGCATGCGGAGGCTCTTTGAATATCTACCTACTTGGGAGCCCAGCCTTTTTCAGCCCTGATGGAAGACTCTCGGATGTGTTCCAAAAATGAGGAGCCCCTGTACAGCAGAAAGCATTCCCTACTCTCCATTCCCCCTCGCCAAAGGCAGCCCTATTATCTCTGCTTTCTCACTTTCAAAACCTGCCTTTTTTTTTTTTTTTTTTTACCCCATGAACAAAACCCCAATAGTCTGTAATTTTTAAACTCATTAGTCACCAGCTCTTCAAGGAAACTAAACCAATGCTCAACAGGGCTCTGGTGTGTTAGAGAACTCCAAAAACAAGCAAGAGAAAATTTTCACGGAACAACCTCTCTTCAGATTTACCCCGCATACATCTACATCACTTCCCAAGGTAGACATTTGGATTTTTAAAAATGCTTTCTGTTTCAGATGATCAACTAAGCATTTTTATATTTAGCTGTATGATTAAAAACTGTATTGGAAAGCACTTCCCCATCAACTCTAATAACCACTATATGCTTCTTACCAGTGGTCTGTAAATATTTAAAAATCAAATGCTTGTGCTCCATTGCCTTGCTATCATGCAGAAGGTGTTAATTGTTCCTGATTGATGGTTATGTTAAAACACTGTCCTGGCATGTTCCTGTCTTCTTCTGGAAGGCTCTATTAAGATTTTCTAAGAGAGAGTGCTATAAACTCTCCCAATTTAACCCAAGAGCAATATTGATTTTAAAGGCTTGCTTTCTGCAAAAATTAATTGGTTAAAATGTCTTCATGAAAGCAATCAAATAACAGGGCCTTTTTTTTTCCCCAAGGAAAAACCAACTCCTCTAAAATGCTCAGCTTTCTAGTTTCTGGCTTTCACAATATCTTTACACTCATCTCAGGATATATCAGGTTGGGAAAAAAAATAATTTTTAATGCTATAAAAGAGCAGAAACATAAATCTATTTTTAGCTAACAAACCCCTCTAACGCCCCCAAGTGTAAGAACCCCCTTCATTGTCTGTTAGACATCAAAAATGACAATAACTCAGTTTTCTCGCTTTGCAGGTCCTTTTGACAGACACTTGGACAGAGATTCAGCTGTGTGTGTAATGCCACAGAAGGTAACAGGGCTCCAGAGGTGTATATATTCTCTGGCAGTGCAATGAAGGGATGAATGTTTCCCAGCTCCCAGGTTTAAACACATGGAAGGAAAACCAGGCACACGTGCAAGGGGTGTAGTACACTCCTTAGATGTGCCCTACCCGGGATGACCTTGGAGAAGAAAAAAAGAGGATGCTTGTTTTGTAGTTAAAGAGTTAGCATTGTAAATTAGCAGCTAAATTGATTTCTGGGAGGTCTGTATTGCCCATATCCTCCAAACTTTTGTTTTTGAGAAACCGGGTTTGCTTCTTTATGGCAGGCGATAAAAGAAACCGTCAGCCTGTCAGCTTGCTTTGTGCCTGATAGCGGTACAGATCTGATTGTTCTATATAGCTCATTTCTTACAACACCTCCGAAATCCCGGATGGGAATTGCTGGGTTTTTTCAGGAATGGATTATTCACTAGCTAATGTATTTCCCTCCACTCTAAACCTAAGCTTGGCCACAGTTTCTTAACAAACCTGTTCCACTTCAGAAGCAGCGAGTCCTAAGGCAACGTCCGGTTCCAGGTTTACGTGTTTCATTCCAACCACACTGAATTTTTCCAGCTCTAGTTTTCGGAGGATCCTTGCAAGACTATGGCTCCAGGCACCAGGTTTGATCAGCAGCACTGTGCAAAGAATCTGGGCTCCTGTAACAAAGCACACTAGTGAAAGGCAAAGCCGCTCCTAAGAACGGAGGGAATACAGCAGTATTTGTTTACTAGCCTGGACAGACATCTGTAGAAGAGGGTTATCTAAAAGTTGGCATGAAGTTCATAAAAATTTGAACAAAACAAGTCCATAAACAAAACCTGTGCAGAGAGGATTTTTGTTTTGTTGTTTTGGTTTGTCTGATTTTTAGTTTTAAAATATATCTGAAACCTTGTAGATTCCGCCCCCCCCAGACATCTGCTCTGAGTCCAAAAAGTTTGTGTGGCAGGTCTGTAGGATAAGACTCAATCCTTTATATAATATATGAATGTTTTAAGAGGGATACAATATTCCCTTTTACATTGCTCACGCGAACTGTATTGATAGAATCCTTAAGACAGCTATTAAATTCTTATTCCTCCCAGTTTATCTCTCAGAGACGCGTATCTCTGTCAGAGCTATGTTTCAGATGGGCATTAGCGAGTATGACAGGTCCCAATTAACATTATAAACCTATTACGAATAGAATTATTTCCCAAAATTGAAGTTTCGGCAAAAACTTTTTGCTTCCAACAAAGCTCTCCCAGCAGAGCTGCCAGCTAGGTGCAGTGCTCGGTGTGCCACGAGAAACAGAAAACCAAACAGGCCAGGAGAGTTTTGCTGTCCGATGATACAAAATGTATTAAGAGGCAGAAAATCCATAAATTTCATTTCCAAATTACTAGTTTTGCTAATGTAAAGTACCTGATTACTAGGAATATAGTTAAGATTTTATCCTGATAACATCCTTTGAAGATTTCTTGGCAACTGTAGTGTCGGAACCAGTCAGCCAGGACCCATTTAACTGCTGGTGCCTAACCATGTCAATTAGCATGAAGCATGAGGTTACAGCACTGCAGGCAGCTAAAATTGATCCGTGATTATCTGGTTGGGTATGTAAAATGTCGTTTTATGTTTCCTGTACACCCCACTACTAATTACACAGATGTCGATGCAACGAAGCGTCAACAACGCTACGTATAATTTAATGCGTGCTGTTGTTTTCAAACGGCAAGAAGCACGTTGCCGATTCACGACAGAGAAATACAGGATCAAAAATAAAAAGCAAGATTACTGCTCCCCCCACCCCCACCCCTTCCTATGGAAACTTAACCCTTATTGTGCAGGGAGCCCACCTATTAAAGATCTGCTATTTTCTTCACATCATTCTTGAACAGAAAGGTTTAAATGCCATAGCAACAGCCTGCGAGCGCAGAAGCAAGCCACTCGGATCCCCTCAGCTGCTCACATACAGAACAGCAATTTCGGCTGTACACTCTTACATAAGCACTCGTTGTCCTCCAGATGTTTTACTCCCCATCTGCTCTGTTTCTAAGCAAACATTCTCATTCTTGTGGCATGCGAATCACTACATGCTGCATATTTATGGACTTTAGGCACTTCAGGAGGGATTCGTCTTACGTCACTTTGCCATTTTGGCTTGGTCAAAGACAAGTGTTGAAAACAGGTGGGACACCTTGCCACCTAGAGTTGGTTCTCCCTCCTCAGTGATTGTAAGTGACAACAGTTAGGGAGAAATCATAGAATGGTTTGGGTTGGAAGGGACCCCTAGAGGTCACCCACTCCAACCCCCCTGCAGGAGCAGGGACACCTTTAACCAGATCAGGTTGCTCACAGCCCCATCCAACCTGGCCTTGAATGCTTCCAGGGATGGGGCCTCCACCACCTCTCTGGGCAACCTGTTCCAGTGTTTCACCACCCTCAGTGTAAAGAATTTCTTCCTTATATCTAGTCTAAACCTACTCTGGTTTAGTTTAAAACCATTACCCCTTGTCGTTCCAGCCTTCTGATCATTTTTGTGCCCCTCCTCTGGACCCACTCCAACGCTTCCATGTCCTTCTTGTGCTGAGGGCTCCAGAGCTGGATGCAGTACTCTAGGTGAGGTCTCACCAGAGCAGAGTAGAGGGGCAGAATCACTTCCCTTGACCTGCTGGCCACGCTTCTCCCAATGCAGCCCAGAATACGGTTGGCAAATACTGCTATCTATCAACAGAACAGTCTCTCTGGATCATGAATTACCAGGGGCACCTGCTCAGACATGCCTGATTTCCATTTCCAGTTCTGGCTTTTTGGTGGCCATTCTGGTTTTGCCCAAGTTGCCTGGTCTTTGTTATGTTTTTCCGCTTCGTAATATTTTTAGATCCCTTCCTCACAACCAATGATTTTTTCCCCCCCCAAAAAATATTACATAGGTTTTGATTTCATAGTGTAATTGTGAAAAATACTGTTCATTTTATATACTATTTATATACAATACTTTAGATATGTGTGTGGCTTAAAATAAGCGTAAACTCAAGAGACGCAAATATCGGATTTCCTGGCATGCTTAGAAAAGAGAGTGAGTATCACTGCCTGCATCCAAGCCTAAGGAAAAAGTTGGTATAATCCTTTTGCTTATTCTTGGCTGGTACATCTAGACGAGTGAGTTCCACAGAGTCCTTATCAAGCCACATTTTTCCATTTGCTCTTCCTCTCACCTGTTTGCAAGTAGGTAAACAGTGATTCTGCATGGCACCTCTGGCGCTCTCCCCCTAAATAAGAAAAGCAGATAGATTTGAGTAAGCAGTACACACGTTCTGCAACAATAACTTGAGAATGATGCCATCATCTCTATGTAATTCAGCCAACGTTGCTACGACACAGTTATTTTAAAGTGTTAGACTGGGGACATGCATGGCTTGATTTCAGACATTCAGATGTATTGGGACACCCTGGGAGAAGTTGTACTTACCACTTCTCCAGTAAACCCAGTAGCATATGCTGAAAAGGACTGCGAGTACTAAATCACCTTGATTCCTGGTTACCTTTTCTGTGTATTTCAGAGTGGTTAACGGTTTTAAGCTACCTCTGTGCTCCCAATATTTCACAGCCAAGTTAGAAGCTGCTTTGTTTCCAGTGTAAGTCCCAGAAGCTCAGGTGTTTTCTTTAATGCCTTCTCTTGTGCCCTTGGAAGCAAAGAAGGGCTGTGTGTTCTGACTACACACCTACTGAGCCCAGACCTGTTGTTCAGTCCTTTCCTCAGGCTGATACAACCTCACTGACATTCCCCAAGCAGCCAGGAACAGTCGCTTCAGTGGTTCTTCCTAAGAGCAGAGCAGTATAAAAGGACTCTGGTGAGTCAGAACTTATGACAAAAGCCGATATAAAAATGCTTCCTTCAGTCTAAGGTAAAACCTGCAGTGACCTGGAGAGGTGAGGAAAATTGAAGGCACTTCAAGGCACATGTGAATTGAGAAGTTTTCTTGGACTGTGGCGCAATGAGGAGAAGTTTGCATCAGATGGATAAAGGACTTCCTTTTCCAGTGATTGGCAAGTTTAACCAGCGTGACATGCGAGGTAGATAATAGAAAACTAAAATCTGCTTGTCAAAACAAAATCATTACCATCTGTTTGTATTTATTGCTGTCTGAAATCCATGTACTTCCCAGGGTGTCCTGGTTCCAGCTGAGACAGAACTAGTTTTCTTCCTAGTGGCTGGCACAGTGCTGTGTTTTAGATTTACTACGAGAAGAACGTTGATAACACACTGATGGTTTAGTTGTTGCTAAGTTGTGCCTAGACTAGTCAAGGACCTTTTTTCCCAGCTTCCCCTGTTCTGCCAGGTGCACAAGAAGCTGGCAGGGGGCACAGCCAGGACAGCTGACCCAAACTCACCAAAGGGCTATTCCATACCATATGATGTCATGCCCAGTATATAAACTGGGGGGAGTTGGCTGGGGGGCAGCGATCGCTGCTTGGGACAGGCTGGGCATCGGTCAGCGGGTGGTGAGCAATTGCATTGTGCATCACTTGTTTTGTATATTCTATTATCAGTGTTACTATTACTCTTTTCCTCTGTTGTTTTATTAAACTGTCTTTATCTCAACCCACAGGTTTTACCTTTTTCCCCCCCCCTATTCTCTCCCCCACCCCACTGAGGGGGCGGGGAGCGAGTGAGCAGCTGCATGGTGTTCAGCTGCCTGCCAAGTTAAACCACAACAGTGCTATATTCCCTATTGTTTCTTTTTTTAGCAGAGCAGGCATTTTTGCTTTCTTTTTAAAAAATTGAAGGGTTGGGAAGTAGGCATCCTTTACTTCGCATATTTATCGTCTCACCATCATTCTTCCTTCTGCTTTCTGATCTCTCCCCTGCCCCTTTCCTCTCTTGTCCCAGTCTCACTCTCATACACTTTCAGTATCTTGCCTGGTTGCTTTGTCATCTGTTTCCACTGTTTCCCTACTGTTCATGTTCCTTTCGTTGTACAGTACTAGTAATTACAGGCTGGTTTCTCCTTACTTCCAGCCTTCTCTTAGACAGTCCGCACCCTACCAGGACACGAAGTGAAAAATAAGTATACAGACAGGTGCTGTGCAAACACCAAGGGAGCCACAGGTTCTAAAACTATTCAACTATTTAACTAAGGGTATGTTACAAACAGAGTAGCATTGCAGCTAGAGGTACTTGGTAAGGTGCACGAGTGTGAGGATTAGAATGTGAATTTAGATGTGTCTCAAAGTTTGATCACAGGGCGATGTATCTGGAAGGTATCTAGCCAAAGTGTTCTTTTCTTTTAATGAGACCTTTTTTTCCTCTTTCCACATGTCTGTCTTTTATTTTGCTGGAATGATAAGGGTACGCATAAAAGGTGGAACCAGCTCCGAGGTCCTTGCCTCATAACTTTTTAGCTCACATCCTCATGGTACCAATTTTTTTCTTTAGTATCGGGGTTATTTGAAAGGACTTCTAGGATCTGTGAATTCCGTGGTGTCTTGGGTGGCACTGTGACGCAAATGACAGAGCCCCTGTCTGAGACTTAGGAAGCGTGCATTCTACTTGGATTTGTGTCACTCACTTGGCGATCAACACATTTCACCTCCCTAGGCTTCAATTACCCCCGGGGTAAAATATAATGAAACTCATCCTCTCTGAGATCTACAACTGAAAAGGGCTACTGAAGACCTGGCATTAATTACTCTTCTAGCTGACATTCCACACCAGCCCTAGATAGGTCATCCAGGCACACACAGAAGAATTGTGTAGAAGAAAGGTGATCTGCCAATACTACCACTCAGTACCAAGTGAACCAACCCATCTAGCCTTTTCTTCCTAATTGCCTAGGATTATGATGCATAACCAGAGGTTTACCAATTGCATTTAATGACTCTGACAGAGGACATAGAGTTACAGTTTTCTTCAATCTATTTTAAGACTATAAAATTACTTGGCTTTATCCAAGCACCGACTGGTGCATACTTTTGGTCTTACCTTCAGACCCGGACCTCTTGCCAGGTGGTGGCAGGTATTTCATAGCAGGGCGGTGTTCTGCATCTGTAAAAGGAAGGAGGTGTATTTTTATGGATTCACAGATGGGAGAACTTCACTGTTTGGGAGGACGGGGGGGTGATGAAGGTAATTTCATTTAGCAGGGGAAATGGCAGGTGTTTAACCAGCTGCAAAATATTGAAAAGCTGTTCTCTAGCGCAAAGACCTCTCCATTCCTCCCACAACAACAAAAACAGGAGGAAAAAAAAAATGTAATAACCTTGCAAAAGAGATAGTGCAGGATGCCAGAGTCATGCTTCAGCTATGCTGCTTTGTTCTTGACAATGGCTTTGGTGGGAAAGGCTGGTGCTGTGATTACAACCTCCCTCAATAAACTGATCTCACAGTTCTGCTTTCCTCTTATCCTACCTTTTGGTCTCAAGATAACCTTAACGAAGGACAGCAATGCATGAATTCTGACAGTTTTATACACTAATTTGGGATGTCTGATGCCTTCTTTTTTGAAGGCCTCCTCTTCTTGCTATCCAATCTCACCTAAAACACCCACGTAGTTCACTGTCAAATCTAACTTTTTGTGAGACTAAAATGAGTATCTTTTTCCAGACGCTGTCATATTTTCTTCTTTCTATTTGGTAAAGCCGATTTGTTACTCCACACTACAGAAGCGCTGTGCGTTTGACACAAGCGTCTAAGTTTGTGACAACAAAGGACCTTTCTTCCCCACGAAAAGGTAAAAAACTATAAATTACAGAGCACGAATGCACTTAGGGAACTGAGTCACTCCTCCTTAGCTGATACATGGCATTACCACAATCTTGATTTCTCTTTGTTTCTGAATAATCAGAAATCGTCAGGCTCAGAACTGCTTATCTTCAGGTGTGAGGAGTCAGGCATCTCCAAGAACGGAGGTGATATCCCAATATATTTCATGTTAGAAGAAAACAGCGGGAGCTCATACTCTGCTTCAAAGCATCCAATATCACTAACACCACAGCCTGCACAGTGATTTAAAGAGGCGTGGCTAGACATTTCTTTGCTACAGGAGGGAACTAGAAAGTTTCCTATGCTAAACGATCAATGCTAGCACGTATCGCTGAAGTCTGAGAAGCTTTTGACAATGCTCTTCCTCATGAACTCTTCATACTTTTCCAGGATAAAAAAGAATTCTCAAGAAATCTGCTTTCCTCAGCTCTCATGGATTGCCTCCCCGAATACAGGGCAAGGCTGGGGCATCTAGCCTCAACAACCGGGCACTACAATTAGGTGCGCACGTTTAGGTGGGATAGATCCTGGCCTCTGCTTCTCAGTTTCTCTTATATACAGAGGCAAAATGCATAGTATTATTTACTGGTCCTGCCAACTGCTGTAATATCTATTTAGTACTTATGGAGTACTTTGAGATCTTCAGAAAGGGCATCAGGCCATGCACAGCCACATTAAATTAATAGGCCAACTTGTTGATGACCTCAGATGGCTCCTGCTGATTTCATACCCCTCATCACTGTTCAGCCAAGCACAAAATTTAACCCCAAATTACTAACATTTTCTGCACCTGAAAAAAACCCATAGCACCAGATTTCGTTGTCCAAGTTGAATAAATTTCCACACACCTCATGCCTGAGGACATTATAAACAGTAAAACCACGTCTTACCAGTTACAAAATCCGCCTCTGTGAAGACATAGCACCAGATTTCTTTGTCCAAGTTGAATAAATTTCCACACGCCTCATATGCCTGAGGACATTATAAACAGTAAAACCATGTCTTACCAGTTACAAAATCCGCCTCTGTGAAGAAGAGGATGGCTTGTCTGAACGTCACCTCTGGGGTCAAGGCCATTACTGTCTGTAGAAGACTGCCACTTTTGCTTAGCTTCTCCCTGCATTGTGTTAATCTCTTCAATGCATCTTCAAGAGCTTTGAAGGCATCGATCCGCCGTAACGCACACACAAGGACTGGGTTTGACATTAGTGTATCAAGACTTCTTCGCCAGGAAGTGTCTCCGACCTCAAAAGGGGTTATTTCTCTGGCTTGGCATCGAGTGAGACGGGGCAACCACTTGAGACCTAGGAGCTCAAATCCTGAATCAGGTTCTTCTGCAAGTCAAGAGAAATCTGTTTAGCACCAGTTGACAGCCTGTGTTTCATGGAAGCCGTGTGTTTTCTTCTGGAGACAAGTGTTCTAAATTCACATTGTTGTTTTGTTTTTTTTTTACAAGACAACAAGTTCCTAAGCTGCTTTGACTTCGCCCCCTGTTGCATCCAAAATGGATTGTAATGCAGATACAGAAATATACTTGGAAAAACCACAAGATACAAATTCTAGGAAATTACATTACAGTGAAAACAAAAAATGGGCTATCTGGGAAATCAACAGGGAGCCACAGAGAGTAAGTGCCATGATTTGATTAGAGAACACAGCTAATAGAGAGGAGTCGAAAGGGAAATACTGAGAATACACTGATAACAATGTGGTTTGACACAGTATAATCCATAATTATAAATCCTTTACCACCTCTCATAACATCCCATTTTCAGCTATATTCATCATAGTAATAAGCTACAATTTAATACTGACTTGTCCCTAAAGTAGCTTAAATGTTGTTGTGTTTGTGTAAGTGGCCTTACTTCCAATATTTAGGGGCTCAATCCAAGTGCATGTTGCTGGAAGTTTCTGTCAGCTAGGGTCTCCTCCTCACCTACAGTGATACAGAACTTACCCCGTAGTATTGTTTCAAGAGAGTAGGAAACAACACTGTATAAGACAGGGTACCGGGCTGCTGCCCTTTGTTGGTATGCTTCCTGTATTATTAAACTTTGATGCAATCCATATCATGAAATTATACAAAATCATCATCCCGCTTAGCACTTGACAGCAGTCTTCATGCATTTGTAAGCATTTAACGTGGGGGATAGTGTCGTTATGCCTCCTGTGTGCATGAGGAAACGAAGCACAAAGCATCTTGCTTCTGACCACAAAGGATGTCAGTGGACAGAATAGAGTTTGTGATTTCCGAATTCCCGTTGCTGTGCCCCAATTACACAGCTGCTTTATCTCCCAGTACTTAGAGAAAGACACAATGCTCTGGATTACATAAAAGGCTTGGTAAGCCTAAGCACATCTTTAAACTAATTTGACACACTCTGAAGAAAATTGTGCCCACCTGAGCTGTTCGCAGTATGAAAAGTGGCCTTGCCCATGACTAACCAGCTACGATAAATTCTTCAGTTCTTTAGGCAGGTAAGCAAAGAAACCTGTCCTCCTGCCTGAAGCCCCTTTCACCACATTTTTCATAATGTTCCTGCTATGATAAATACAGCTGGACAGGATAAACTTCCCTGAGCCACTTCTACTGCCCTCCCCAAGAGCTAGGATCACCTGCACTTTGAGATTGATTATTGTGCCCAGGAAGAAGAATCTGGTGAAGGAGCTCTCCGGCACTCTTCATAGCATCCGGTCCAACCAGCGTCAGTGTGACAACTTGCTCCATTTCAGGATCAGAAGCGTACGCTCGATTGCAGAAAAGATCCAGAGGAATGTTACGGGGGTCTGGCACTGCACTGAGGTTTCCTCCTAGCCAGGGAGATCATAAAAATAAAACTAGTTACCCCACAAAACAAAATCTCAAGTCTTTTTTAGTGTGAAGAAACTGACTAATTCTTGACTGAGCAAAGGCCAGTGCCTCACCGCGATACTGCTCCTCATACTGCAGCACAGCATGGCCAGAAAAAGAATCATGCGTGAGGAGCAGCATCACAGCAAATCCTTACTCATTAGTCACACTCCTTAACTGGAATTACTTTTTGCCATGTAAAGCAAATATATTCAATCCTAATTTTGATAGCCTTATTCACCCCATTAAGCAGAGTTGGTAGACCAGTACCAAAATGATTTAAGGCGTCAATTTCAGATCGATAACTAATCACTGACTTTGTATTAAATTGATACTTCATTTTGCTTCCTCGGAGATTGCACAGCATACAACTAAGGGCTAAATGGGGGACTGCTATAATACCATGCACGTATCCACGGTCCTACCTGGAACAGTACAGCCTGCAGAATCCCTGGCCCACCAAAAATCTGTGTTTGATTCCACGCTGTTTCGCTACATGATTATTTATGCAATTGTAGAGATTGACATTTACTTGCTTAGTTATTCCTACAGCTCAATATTTCATAATGTTAGAAAATAGTGAGTGATGTGCATTTGATTATTATTTTTCCTTACAATTTAGCGCAAATTTGGTTTTGGAGAGCAATATACTTCAGTTAAAAATCCTGATATCCAACATTTAAAATAATTTAATTACTTCAGTAAAACTGTATTAACCTCCTGAACACATAAGGAAACAGTATCCGTAGTTAGTGAAATAAACATCTGATCACCATGACCTCCAAGCATGTGGAAGTAGTAGGTTTAAGACCCTCCTACCCATCTGAGTCATAGCAAACGTGAAAACACGTTTACTTGCTTTTTCAAGTCCTATCAATTTCCCAGCTTTGAATGAATGAGCTACTGAAGTGAATTCAACTGTATAAACCGAAAATAAGAACATCTGAGTAAAGCGAAATGAAAAAGTGCCTTCCCTGCACCTACAGAAGAAACTACAGCTGCCAGCATTTATGACTGCAGCAAATTCTAGCTTTACACGCTTGACCACCAATCCCTCTCATTTTAATATTTTGACTTGTCTTGAAGCTATGGCAATAAATAAGTAATGATTGAGTATTAATCTTTTGATTATGGTAGGTTTAAGGCTTAATTGGTTGTTATCACGTCACATTTAAATAACTTATTTTTCCATATATTTTTTAATTTGCTTTAAAAACGGTATTTCCGTTTCACTTTTCTATTGATTCTTCCATCCATTACCCAGCAGCAGAAGACATCCAATGAGAATTACTATGACTGACAGGCAGTAGAACATTAAATGAGTTATTACAGACAACAAGCACATTCCTGGCATTCTTATTCAGGAAAAGCCCCTAATAAGGTTGTCAAGACCTTGTGAAAGCCAGAATAATGGATTTCCCATAGTTGTGACCTACCCAGTGCCTGCAGCAAGGTCTCGGTGTAAGGAGCCACATGAAAACACACGGAGGGGTCCAGCCCGGCAGCAGCAGGCAGGTTGCTCTGCCCGTTGCTGAGGACGCCTTGCTTTGTCAGTTCATTCATCAGCCCTGTACACACAACAACCGAAAGCGTGAGGAACGCAGAACTCTGTGATGCAGTCTGACATGAAAACACTCTTCTTATCAAACGTTTTGATTCATCTGACCACAGTCCCATTACAGAGACATTAACGTGGGTCATGCCGAGCTTACCTAAGAGACATGAAATGCAACTTGACCATCCCCTCTCCCCTAATTATCATATCCACTTACAGTGGGGCAAGTAGCTGTTGAAAATTGAGCCTTGGCCACAGCTTTCTCTAGAGACACCTCTGCTTTATGACCAGTACCCCAGTTGTTTCCATTACCTTCCAACTCCTGCTGTGAACTGAAACGTGGAACATATGCACAGAAGATGCTACGCAGCTCTTGAATTATAATAAGTGTCTTAAATAAGTTGGTGTCCATGAGGAAGAGAAGTGACAAATCCTGAGCCCAGTGCTTGAGCATAGGCCCTCCAGGTGAGCAGCAAGGCCAGTGTCCTGCACCCTACACAGAGCCATGTGGCCACTGGGGCACTGCTAGATTACAGACCTGAACAGAAACATCATGTTCTGCTCATTTAACACCCAGGCTGGAAAATATCCGATTCCACACTGCTTTTACAAACACTAAGTGCTTGAAACTAGCAATCTCTCAGTTCCCATTCTTCTTCTAAAAGGCTGGGCTATGCGCAGGCAGTGCATTAAGGTACTGGCATGCAGTACACTTTCACAACAATCGGTTCAGCCTTCTGTAATAATATTTCAGATCACAGTTTTAAAGGCTTGTTATTTTTTAAATTACTTCATGTACATTTGATCACTTTCTACCGTACAAGCCTGTCAAAAATTGACTGTAGCGCAGCATGGGAAATGGATTGTTAGCGCTAAAGGCTGATGGTGAACCTCAGATGTCAACCGTGGCACTGACAAGAGATGTGAGCTTGTACCACTGACAATCACCTATCTGCTTTTCAAAATTTAGGTGGCATGAGTAACCAAAAAACATGCCATCACTGCCACAGCAGCATCACCTGCTGTTTATTCAAACTCCATGCATGGCAAAAAATAAAGCTTGGACGAAAGTTTATGGTGTTTGATCCTCAAGACAGAGATCCATTACCCAGACACCTGCCTGGCTGCTCTGTTTCAGGAATGATTGTTGACTTTTTTCCTTGCTTTGAAAATTGAGCAGTGTTCAAGGACCTTGAAGGGGTAACTGCTTTTCAGGGGTATTGATTACAAATGCAAAACTTCTTAGTGTGGTATTTACCCTACTCAAATCTTAGTGCTATTCTACACTTCCCAGAAGCCAAATCAAAGATTTTGTGACAAGAATGTCATCTTCCCCTCTCCAGGGCTCTGGAATATGGAATAAACTAATCTCTCTGGATCAGTTCTGAAGCAATCACAGAACACCATTTACAAAATCTGTCTATAAAGAAGGGGAAAAAAGTGACTTCCCTACAATGAGGGAAAACAGGTTACCTTTCTGGAATATCCTTTGTTCCAGTGCCCACCTATATATTTCTAGTGGGAATTTCCCCATGCAAAACATGAACACTGTAAACATCATCTGTTGTTTCCTTGGGCCTACAGGCAGCAGGTGACACGGTGCTGTAATTAGTCTGCCATGATTAATCCACTGTGTCTGTACATGTTTTCAGAACATTCTGTGATAGTCTCGGGAGAAAAAAAAAATCAGAAGAGTTTTTGAATTGTTGGTTTGGGTTTGGTTTTTTTTCCAAACCTCTAAGTGTTCTTTTCTGTTGTGGACGGATTAAAGGAAGCAATCGGGCAGTGGATGAACATCTCCATCACAAGCTATTTATGGTGGTGTTAACGGAGGGGTCAGCAACAGTGATCCTCTTCTCTCAGCGGTGGTGTCTGACGGAGAGGTTGCAGGAATGGAGTCTCCTGCTGCAGGCAACATGCCTGCTGCCAGAGCGGGAAGCAGCAGGCAGGGCGGGTTCTTTGTTTCCCACTGGTCACTCTTGTTCCCTGTGATCATCCTCACTTGAGACCAATGTCAGCTCATCCTTAAGAAAACCAAATAATGCTTTTCCTGAACCAGAGCCTCAGAACTGAGTCTGACTCAAGCAAGAAGACTTGGGGCAGCAACTTGTCTGGTTTTTGGCAGTCCCTACATATAAAACGAGTTACGGTTCAGATGCCTGGAAGTCACAAGTATGCAGACCTCAGGGCTGAGGTTGATAGGATCAGGTGCCATCTTCAGGCTCAGTGGCACATACGTATTTTTGCCACCCTACCTCTCTGTGCAATAAGAATACCGAGAGGAGGTTACGGAGATGAAGCCAGGCCCATTATGGAGGTGTACAGAGGGAAGCCAAGAGACAAGGCTCACAGATTCAAACAGAGGAGGTTCCAACTTGACATAAAGGAAAAACAGTTCCGCATAAGGACAGTCGAGCATCAGAAGAAAGGCCCAGAGAGGTGTGGGAGTCTCCATTCTTGCAGATTTTCAAGACCTCACCAAAAAAAGCCCCGAGCATCCTGATCTGAATTCATTGCTGATGCTGTGTTGAGCAGGACATTGGATGAGAGACCTTCCAACATGAATTACTCTCTGATTCCAAGTTCAAGAGGACTCCAGCACTCAAGATCAAAAAACTGAAAAAGATCAACCTGCTCTTTTGGATGCGTATTACCAACCGATGTACATGTGGGTCTAGAGAGACATACAGCAAAACAGGCCCTGATGTTCTCAATAAATCTTTCCTGCAACGTAATAGCTATGGTCAGATTGTTAACGTTTAGCACACACACACCGAAATGCAAACCTCCTTTTCAGAGGTTGCTGAGCCATGAAAGCATTACCTTTTACCAATGCAGGAATATGATGACTAACGTTCTCCTTTCTCAGCAACAAAATGAGACAGTGCACGCGTGGTTCAGCGGAGCACTCTCCGCTTGCAGAACTGGTAGCAGGTGAACTTGAAACCTTGCCAGGGCAAAATACAGCAGCCTGAAATAACAAGGGCCATATCAAGACTACTAAACCCAGATGTAATCACTACAGGGCTCAAGCAAATAGTTAAGTTACAATGGCATAACAAGATACAGCTCACCAGCTGAGCCACAGTAACTTCCAGCAACTGGGTGTTCATGCATCACCTATTCCTGAGGCAGAGGAACTTAATTTAAACCTCAGGGAAGAGGCTTAACATAAAAACATTCTGCCCTGCAACTGGGCCAGACTAAAACCACAACAGTTATAACTCAGCTGATATGTGGTACCATCCCAAGACACTCATGCAAAAAAATTATCTTCACTCCCAAATGAAGGGATGATTTTTCAGAAACATTTTGCCCCAAACAGCACACTGAAGCAACCGTTGCTGCTGTGGCCATTCTTAAATGGCTTTTTAGGAGCATGCTTCCAAGTATTTGGCTATTTGGGCTGTACTATTCCATAAGTAAGTTATGTTTATTCTACAAAATATTATGGGCAGGGATAGCGTTATTTGCAACACGATGCATTTCCTGATTTACATAGCAAACAATCTTGAGCAGGACACTTCAAAGTAAGGGGTCCACTCCTCTGTAAGAGAAAGTGCCATATGATTCCTGGGTGATTTATCATGTAAGAAGTGCAGAAGCAGACTTGTCGCATATGTAAGTTTGACTGAAATCTTGCATTTATGATCATTGTTGTTTCCTTAGGCTGACTTGTCAAAATGCCAGCTGCACTCTAACTCAAATCTATCAACATGTCAGACAGAGCTTCAGAGAAAAAGAAAAAAAATTGTTATTTTTGACAATAGGAAAGCTCTTTTCGCAACCCATCTGGAATGCATTAAACTAGGGGACTTCATGCTGAAAGGCCACAAGCAGTCCCAGAGGGACTGCGAAGCATGTAATCAAACAGCAGTCTGTTAGATGAAGACTATTCTCCTGAATACACATTAGCACATCAGAAATTGTTATTTTGGTTTACGTGGCTACTGCCTGCTCTTGCTTATTTTGAGATCAATGGTAAAATTCATGTTTGTCTTAGTAGGAGGCAGCCTGACTGCATTTACACTTCTGTTCTCAGTGAGAGGCTGAGACCTGGTGGGATTTTCCTACTGAAGAAAAAAAAAAACCATCACTGAAAGCAAGCAGAGTACCACTCACAGGAATGTGGAGAACATAAGTGCTGGCTAGCTAGTAAAGAGAGAATGAGTGTCCTTGAGAACATTTACTAGAGGAGTGGCGGCTCACACATCCATAAGCTCACAGCATAATTAGTTTCTGACCAACTGGTAACCCAACAACTGAGCTGCGTGTTCCGTCCGGTACCTGACTTGTTGTCATGCTCAGTGCAATGGCTTGCTTGGGTGAAAGCCGCATCCGTCTGATTCCTTGCAGAACAAATCCCCGATAAGTACAGACTGAAATCACGTTACCATATGCATGAGGAGACACCAGAGGCGACACCATCAAAATGACGTCCCCTAGATCAAAAAGAGGGTAAGAAAAGTGGCGTATTATTTCCACAGAAGCTGTGGTAACAACGCAAGGCAACTCTCACACTGGCTAGTTCCAACTTGAAGCACATCCCAAATGGTGACACTGTATTTTACGGTTTATTTGCTCTATCCAGCTCATAATGACTGCTACTGGAGGCCAACCTAGAACGGAAAAGCTTATGGCATCATCGATAATACCTTTATGAGTCATCTACCCCAGATAGTCTGTCTCATCAGGTCAGTCTAGCCATCTATGAGCTATTCATCTGTCTTTGAGGTATCCACGCTCTCAGTTCACGTGCTCGCTGTGCGTCAGCCCCTGCCAGGCTGTGTTTGCACTGTTGCCCTTACAGCTGACAATCCAACAGCAGTCAGTTTCCTCAAGGACTAAGGACCTGATAAGCCTGGCCACACCGATGAGTAACTAAATAAGGTCAACAAGACCAACTGGCAACTTGTCCACTATAAAGGGCATGAGGCAACTCCAGCCACTCCTCTCTGCTGTTGTTGGCGGTCCTAGCCTGTAGCTAGCTTCTACAGTCTTGTTCAGCACTACCTTCTGCTTCCTCTTGTCCCTTCTTCAGTCCTGTCTTTAACCTTCATCCCAGAGCTTGCCTTGTAGCATGGGCTCCTGAATCTTTGGACCAGCCTGTGAGCACGACCTCAGCTCACTCTTTGGTTTGGTACCATCTGTGGCTTCGCAGGTTCCTGTCCTTGGCTACCACGATAACTGTATCAGCCTGCTCTCTCCTACCTGACTCTCATCCACTAGGTCTGGCTGCTTGTGCTCTCCTTGTATCCCTCAACTCAGCAGGTAAGGTTGTCGAAGCAACTGGAATTTATGTTGGGTTGGAACCTCAGGTTTTTAGACTCCTCTTTTCCAAGTTGAACCCCAAGCCCAATGCCAACAGGGTGGCAACACATGCTATGAGCAAGCTCAGGAGAAAGAGCCTACAAGACCTCTGGAGCAGTGTATAAGCCCTGTCTTAGGTACTACAGGACAAGCTCAAGACTTTTCCCTGAAGCCTCTGATCTACCTGTAGTCTCTGTTTTGTTCTGACCTTATTTGAATCTCTGCTTTTACCATCACCTTCATTAGTACAATGCTCTAGTCCTAATACAACTTTTTTCCCCTGTACACAATGCACATTCAGATCTCCATAACCTGCCAAGAGCAAGCTCTGAAGACAAATCCTCATTATCACTTCTACATGTGTTTCCTCCTCTACATTGCCCTGTTAACTTCTCTCAGCTCTAATAAAATTATAGAATGGGGTTGGAAGTATTTTGGTCTTTGTGTCCTGACTACGCTTGGTTTTGGGGGTAGGACTATCAGCAGTGAATGTTTCTTTTGGTTCTAGACTTTGAGATATGGATATCTGTCCCCCCAAGAATCTGACCAAGGCTCAGCCTGGTAGTTCAAAGCAACAGCAACAAAACAAGGGAGGGCTGGTGTTTGTTACTAGGGATGGAACAGGCAGGGTGTTTCTTTTCCTAACATTACTGTTTGGCTTTAGGGCCTTAATTTTGCAGGCTTTGAGGCAGGCTGACATTAGCGTCACATTCATTATATGTGAACTGTCAAAATTTAGTGTTGCAGGTGGTAAGATTTTGGTTCCTCTCTAGTTGATAAAAAAAACCCCAACCAATTTTCACATACACATATCCCAAATCAACAAGAATACCTGCTAAGGTCAATAAAACTTTGATTACTGAGAAGGGGCAGAGGTACCTGGTGGGAGCAGCAATATATTTGTTCTGCACACTCTGCATGGGCATATCTTCCTGCCTCCAAGAGAAGCTGCTGGAGACCTGAGGGAAGGAGTCACGGAACGCTTCCTTTCCTTAAAACCCCACAGGGTGTCTGCTCCTAGACCAGATTTTCAGCTTCTCTTCTAAGTGTCACAATGCAATCATCTATCTGAGAAGCAAAGCTTGAAAGTGACTTCCTGAGCCCAAATACAGATGGAACGTGGTGTGGTGTAACTCAGCAGCCCACATCAAATGTGAATCATTAATGGCCATAAAAGGAAGGGGAGGCAGAAAATGTGACTCATCCCATCAGCAGCAACCAGCTGCCATCAATACCAATCCCAAATAACACAGAGCCAATGGCTGTCTGCCAAGCTACTTGAGTTAACGTGCCTAGTTATATGAAAGAGTATCTCAAGAGGTGAGACTTATTTTCTTTCTGTCACCTTCTCTATCACTTTCCGCTCCTTTCATCTTTTTGGCTTATGCTTTCATTCTTTTCTCATACGTTCTTTCCTTTGGCAACATAATTTTCTGTGCCTTCTTTCTATGTCAGTACAACCCTGCTTTCCTTCTGCCATCTTCTCCCCAACAGCTGCTGAGCTTCCACATCCCTCAGGTTTTTTTTTCCTGTGAAACTATCTTCAGCTGTGGGAGTAGAAACCAGATAGCAATGTTCTAATAGCATTGTCTAAAAATCACTTGGGCCCAAGATCTGCTGTTGCAGACCCCACTGCAGAAGACTGTCAGCATGTTGGCCTGCTACAGCGTGCACCCCTATGCCACACAGATCCTTCTTAGCCAGTTATAAGCACTGTGTGTCTTGGCAGGTTTCCCTTGAACACAGTAAGCTTGCTGCTAGCTAGGTATCACCTGGGGCAGAGCCAGGTGATAGCCAGTTAATATTAGCCCCATGAAGTGCCATCTTGTCTGATTCTGTGGTCAATCCTGCCCTGAATGAGGTCTTAACCGTTTCATAACCACAATAATTATATTAAACTCTTCACCCATAGAGTAGATGATCTCTAATCAGATCAACATGCAGTTTAAGGACACTGTTAGGTCTTCACATAACTGTTTCTTTGATGAACAGGCTCCTGTGTGCAGAAATTTCCCATGGGGTGGTTTGTTTGTTTGTTTTTTCCTTTTTTTTTTTTTTACCCTTCAGTGAAATCTAAGCAGCCTACAAGGACTCTAGCAGCTACTCTCATGAGGAGGATGAGCTGATAACATTCCGCTGTCACTTCATTTTAGGCAGCAGTGTTTCACTAGAGATTCATTCCTGGATCTAGAGCTGGCCAGGTCACAGCACCGAGCAATCCAGGGAGGCAGAATTTCCTGAGCCAGGTGGGCTGGAGTAAGGTAATATTGTTGGTGAAGGAGAGCCATAAAACCTGAAGATTCATTCCCTAACTGACCTTTGGTAGTTGAGACAAGCATCGCTGGAGGTCGAGACAGCACCATGCCCTGGAGATCAACCTTTTCTTCATCTGCTTCTGCCCTAGTTGATGAAGGGCTCTGAGAACTAAAGAAACACAATAAGCATTAAAAGCTGTTACGCCGGGTCCTGACTCAAACCTACTTTCTGCAACAAACCCAGGGCCACAGAAGCTTCTTTGGTAAAACTGCTTTACTGGAAAAGCCATTTCAATCCCTTGGCCATGACACAAGCTGCATCAAGGTCTCTCTGACTGAACATCTTTTTATATTACTCCCCCTGAGGCTCTTCATGTTCAATTAGAAGTAGCTAATGCAAAGTAGCCAGCTTGGCAAGGAAATCTGGGAATCAAAAAAATACGTTGGGCTGTATTACCAGAGCTTTTCCTACCCACAGATACATCATAGTTGTTATTCACTTTTGGTTCTTTAGCTAGAGTTTAACCAGTTTTAAAGGTTTGTGTTGGGCAACAAGCACAATCAAGTCTGGCAGAGATGTTCATGGCAGTGAAACCTCTACAACATTCCTGCACACCCAGAAGGACCAAATCCCGGCAGGGCGAACAGAAGGTGTGGTTCCACACGCCAGGGACTGACAGCAATGCAAACTGCAGCCTGTGAAACAGTTTGGCTGGGTCTGTGAAGCGCAGGCTGCTCAGGCAAACCCGCCTGCCTCATCCCCTGCCACCCCTGAGCTGGCTGGAATACATCCTGCTTCTTCACTCCCAGGAGATCACGGCATTTGCAAGTATAATCTGAAAACTGCAATCCGAGTTGCAGTTTGTATTCTTGTCTCCCAATGGGCCAAATTACCAGCATTAGGAGAAAGACAAGTGCATTATTTAGAATGTAGCGCCGCTCTGGACTGGCTAGGTTATACCAGAGGAGCAGAATTCATCATCTTTGTAAGAGGAAAAAAGCATCCCTGAGGAAAACAAACAAATAAATCAAGAGAACAAAACTTTGCCAAGCTGATTTTTTTTCAAAGCTTAAAAGAAAGAATAATGACAGCCACCGTTCATGGCCGAGCAGAACTGAACTCTGACACGCAGTCCCTCCACGAGCATCAGATTAATTCTACATGGGTGCACTTTGCCACTCTGCAGAAATCACCAACAGGACTGCAGATTACCTCACCTCCAGCCTGCTGCCACTAACACAGCGTGCCACGCTGTACCCAGCATCCAGGATCAGAAGGGATCTTTAAAAACCTGTCCAGAACTTGCAGGTGCAGGACCTTGTCTGAACGTTCTGCAGGGGAGTTTCACCACAGCATCATTTATTCAGTTCAGCAATATTAGAAGGAGATGCCCAGGGCCTGAAAACCCTGGTGTAGAGGCTGGCATCCCAAGTGATCACACAGCCCTGTGTGACAAGCATGGCAGCCAGGGAGAGGAGACCTGCAGTTTGATATTTTCTTGGTTGGTGGAAATTCCTTGAAGCCCTAAACCAAATCTTTTGACAAAGCACTGTAAAACAAATGCTTCAAGCCACAGATCTACCTATGCTTGGAACAACCACAGGGGTGCCTTTCAGCAGCCAAAGAGAGACAAGTGCCTCTTTTCTTCCCTCTGCAGGCCAGTCTACTCTGATCCTCCAGAGGAAAGGGACCTCTGAGTGCAGCAGAGCCCTTCATTTACACACATGGATTAAACGTGCTTCCTGCGTCCTTAAGTTTGAGTCTCTGTACAGGAAAGGTGCAAGACTGGCAGGAAGGGAAGTGATTGTTTTGTGCTGTAGAAACTACTCATCTTCATCAATGAAAAGCTGCAGAGAGGTTTGGGAATAGCGTGCTGGGAAGGAGCACAAGAGAACCTAGGCTACTGACCCAGCCTTCCCTCTGCCAGTGCAGATGGTGTGCAAGGGCTGCTCAGTGGCGACTTCCACAGAGCTGCTGAAGCTTTGCTCCCTGCCTCCCACCACTTTCCCTCATGCACCTCTGCTCTGCTGAGTAAGGCCAATACCAGGCATTCTGGCAGCCTAACATCAACGTTCTAAACCAAGCAACCTTAAGATTAAAGACCATTAGTTAAATCCATTTCTGTCCAAGATAGTCTAAGTGAGACTTGGGGAGCTGTGGTCCCCCTCCCTGTAGCACCACACAACAGAGCACAGACAGTCTAGGTTGCTTGATGGATTAGTAGATGCTTCAAAGCCCAGCTCCCTCTGCAATCATATCCAGACCCATCTGAGAGCAAGATACCAAACTCCTCAATGTCACTTGTTCCCAGCACTTTTTGGCACCCTATTGCTATGCCATCAGTTCCCAAATTGCTCTCCTCTCATGCTATTTGCTAGAGTTAAAAATTTATAAGCCACCCTTCATTTTCACACACTTAGAATCACAGAATTGTTTAGGTGGGAAAAGACCTTTAAGATCAAGTCCAACCATTACCCTAACCCTGCCATCCCACCACTAAATCCTGTCCCTAATCACCTCATCTGCCCAGCTCGACCCCTTCCCAGTGCCTGACAACCCTTTCTGTGAAAAGTTTTTTCCTAGTGTCCAGTCTAACCCCCCCGGCACAACTTGAGGCCATTTCCTCTTGTCCTATTGCCCATTACCTGGGAGAAGAGACCTACACCCACCTCACTACACCCTCCTGTCAGGCAGTTGCAGAGGGTGATAAGGTCTCCCCTCAGTCTCCTTTTTTCCAGGCTAAACAACCCCACTTCTGTCATAGTCCTTCAAAGAACCTTTTCCATCTGAAGCCCCTTATCTCTCGTGAGTTTATAAGGAAGGGACATAGGGCAAAACTAGACCAGGCTTTCTCGCAAAGGGCCAGTCAGCAGAACACACTTGCAGCCCTTCTCCAGCACCAGGCACAGCTGGAGGGGGTCTCAAATCTATCTGATCTGATGTTTCAGGTATGGAAGGCCCAAGAGCAGGTGCTGCAAGCATATGAATCACAGGCCTAGCTACCATGGAAGAAGTAATGGGAAGCAACTGCAAGAATCCCACACCTGACACCTTAACACATCTATTATGTGCTCCAGAGGAGACAGTCCTGTGAGAGAGGGACTCTTGCGGACTCTAGCAACTGCTTTGGAAATATAAAAGTAGACAGATTGCTCCCACCCTGCGCTCTTGTTCACCAAGACGTTCAGCAGAAGACTGACATGTAAAGACACAGCATGCTAGCTGCGTGCCTGCCTGGCCTCCACCTCACACTTTGCCTGTGAGAACAACCATAGTTCAAAACCATCCAGGGCCATCACCTTGCTCTGTTGTTGCCTAGGGAGGCCGGATCCAGGACACCAGTGTGCAGCGCTGCACCAGCAGCCCTCCCTCCAAACCAGAGGCACAGCTCCCTGTGCACACGGCTGTCCAGGCGGGGCAGGTAGACGAGAGGCTCCGCTTGGCTCCTGCAGTAGATGGCATTGATGGAACTGCAGTCCGTCACCCTCGCCAGCTGCGGATCGGATGGCCCGATGATATTCTGCAAGCTGCTACATGCTTTAGGCCCTCTCACGCCTAATGCCAGCACTGGTGGCACCTTGCCAGTCTCTGAAGTATAGGAAGAAGGCAGCTTTTCTGTGAAAGACAAACATACCTGTGACTAAAACACGGAACAACCCACCCCAAGGTCATTCGTTCCACTCAAGTGCTCTTTTCAGATCCATCATTGCCAGACTTCAACAAAATAACCTACCGGTTACCTGTCCCGGGGGTGATACGCTGGCAACCAGCTCCACATTTTTACCCAACAGTAAATCTGAGATTACTCAAGGTAGTCTGTTAAAGAAAGAGGAGTTGGTTGCCTCATGTTTACTGTGGAAAGGAGCGTGCGCAGGGACAGAAGTCAGCACTTTCACTTCTCGTGCAGTATGTTGTTCATGCCCACAAGGAAGGCTGTGGGGATTGAAGGAGAGACAGGACAAGAATATGGGCCTGAGGAGAGGGATGTTTTCCATAATTTTTATCAGATATGGGAAAACTGGGAAGGGGATCACAAACTGGAAACTCGTAGACTTCACTTCTAGATTTTTTCCCTTCCGCATCAAATACATATTTTGTACTATGTGGTAAGACGACATACACAGGTAAGTATTTGATTAGCCACCTTTATCTCCCTGCCAGGACTTGAACTGTGGCTTTCCTCATTCCCTGCAGCAACTCTTCCCTATGCCCCTGGCAAACCTTTCTCCACATCTATTGTCAGCGTAGTTGGGGTCTGGTAAATAACCCCAGAAAAAAAGCAAATGTGGCTCCTCTGCAGTTCTTGCTGCAGACGTTAGAAATAGAAGCAAGGTGTGTCATTTTCTTCCCTGAGGTTTAAAAACATTCAATTACATTATTTATTGCATAAAAATCAGAAGCCAGAACGTAAGTCTCCAGAGCAGGCAGATAATGGAGAAACTGGCTGTAAATATTTAAAATAATAACTTTGAAGTTTTCAAGCTAAGGGTAAAAATCTAATTTACAAACTTGCATAGCAGCTCTCAGCTCAAATGAATTGTCTCTTCATACAAAATGTTCCTAAATAATGGTGCATGGTACAGAGCATTGAAGCAGCTCTGCTGCCCGTCATCTCCTAACAAGTGGTGATTTTATGGTTTTCTTATTCATTTCTGGAGTCCTCCTTCATTTTTCCAGCTATCAGTGTGAACGTATTATGTGCACAGCACTGAGACAACTGCAATCCCATTTCGAAGGCAGTCTGCTGCTATCATTTTCAAATATAAAAACGGGGCAGAGAAACTGGAGAGTTTTTCCCCGATTAAGCTGGTCTTCACTCACCTTCTGTCTGAGGAAAAGGAGACCTATTTCTCTCACTCTCATCCTGCCTATACCTTTCCCCAAGAGGAATGGATTGCGTGTCATGGTGTCACAAACAAACCTTCCAGGAGAACTTCTGAGCTTAAAAGAAAGTACAAGCCATGCTATACCGCAGCGGCAATCTCTATACTTTGCAGCTAATGTAACACCTGTTGCTCTAGAGTGACATTGCATTAGCAACTAATAATATTCCCTACATGCTCTAAGACAGGTTTAATTATTTTTTTTTCTATTTGTGGACTAGAGGTAAAGACTTGAGCAGTACATGCCAATATTTGAAGACATTGGTGTCTAATGTTAAAGATGTAGTGATCCGAGTTCAGAGACCCATTTAATTTTTGTTTAGCTTAATTTCTTGGTTTCCCACCTCAGACTACCTTCTACAGGGCAAATATGATGTTTTGGTGATAGCTTATCAGCCAATGCAATTGCAGGACGGCCAGATCAGTACTTTTGCCCATGCTTCTGAGGTCCCATAGGCAATTGGGTGGGAAGAATTGTGGAAGGGGGTGACTAGACTTTCTGCAGCTAAAACCTTCAGGAAAATCAGTGGGAACTAATTTAGTATATTTAACTCACATGAGTCTAACCCTGGAGCTTAGAGCACTGCAATCTGGGAAAGATCGCTGCAAGGGAACAACAACTAAAGCAGTTTGAGACACAAAAATGTATCAAGGGTTAAAAATTCAACTCATGGATATTCAACACTGGGAATAGAAAGAAAGAAACAGCCCAAGATCTTTTATCATTTCTTATGGGAAAGATATAGGACAAAGCAACGGTCACGTAACTCTGACACCCTCTCCCCCATGCCCACAGCACCACACCACTCTCCACCTTAGTACATTTTACAGATCTTTGCCTTCTCACCTCAGCATCATCACATGATTGAATCTCTGAAGGAAAACTAAACCTCACCTGAGCTAGACAGCAGCACGTCCTGCTGAGGATAAAGCAAGCGGAGTCCACAGATATCCAGACCAGAACTGAGTACCAGCTGCAACACGTGATGGGTAGCCAGGGGACTTTGGAAGAGAGTTTCAAACAGCAATACCATGGCAACCTGAACAGCAAGAGCACATTGGAGAAATGAGCCAAATGCTTCCAAGCCCTCAACGACCACACAGCTGTATCTCTTCTGCTCACCTTTGGTGCCCATGCTTTAGCTACGCTGCAAGAGCCACCGAGACTTTATTTAATATTTACGTGCAGTTCAGCACCATAGGCTCCTAGCTTCAGACTGAATCATAACTACTATGAGAGTTATGATTGAATCTACTTCTCCCGATATAATTGCGCCTTTTGTCACATAAACCTACTCGTTAAAAACTGCAAGTTCTCTGGGGCAGAGACTGAAGCGTACAACTCCTGCTGTTTAACTTCACATGCCACAGAAAGATGGTTAAATAATAACAGACCAACTGGTTGTTTCTTTATACCTACAAAAGTGCCAAAATTGACATAAAAAAAAATACCAACAGGCATACACATCACTGGTACTGTCCCAAATTTACATTTTGAAATCTTTACTGGACTAATCCAATTCAGCCCACGCTGGCATATAGGAAGACCTACACCAACACATACTGAATGTCTATACCCAGAAGGGAAGCAAATTACTCTTGTGTTCCTATCAGAAGAAATGTATTGTTTTGAAAAGCAGGTGCTCTATGCCAGGAAGTTGTGTGGTGCTGTGGGTAATAAATTGTCTGGCTGTAGATGTGACAAGCACGATTGTACTGGCCTCAAATTTGTGCATGGTTCTCCTGGATGTAAAGCAACACAACGCTACGCCCAGCAGCAAGCTTTATGGCTGTGGTGAACGCCAAATGAATTCATCACTGTTGGACACTAAATGAAATGCTACTCCCCCATAAACACATTATGAGGCTTATACCATCATGATAAATGAAGACATAAATTTACTCAAATCATAAAAAAGTGGTCTAATTAGGAATAAAAGCTCTATTTCTTTATGTTTGTCTAGCTCAAGCTCTCTTGATATTAACCCAATATTTACAGCAGCCAGTAAGGAATTATTTTTCTGTAGCTGCTGCGAGTCCCTGGGGCTTGGCTTCCTGGGCTCAGGGCCAACCTTGATAATGCAGATGTTCAGCACTGAGAAAACTCAGTAACTGCCTATCTCCCCTTCGCTTAGGAGCCAGGCACTGGGATTCAGCCTGTATCTGAGCTTTGTCACAGGTATGCCTTGGCCCAGTCTCAGACGTGACCGATTCTGGCCGTTATCCTAACCCGCTGACTTGACTTTCTGGCTCAGCCTTGTCACTGTGACCTCCTGACCGATCCTGTTGCTGCTGCTCGACCTGCTCTGCTCTTCTTTTCTTGCTTGGGTAACGCGGGTCAATGTGGGACTGCACCCTACCAGCAAGGTCGCTGGCCCTGCTTGCCTCGCTGTCCATCTCAGGTCCTGGATTGCCTTCCCTTACAGAGCACCCTGCCCGTGCCATGCGAAGGTCTGTACCGACCCACTAACAGCACTCCTGAGGCAAGTCGAGGAACTGTAATCAAGACATGAGGCCTTTTCCTGACGGCTGATTGCTTCAGCTCCTAATCATGGACTTCAAGCATCTTTCAGGAGCAAGCCTGGCACATTCTCAGCAACTGGTCAGGCTTGCTGAGCCTTCAGGAAGAACTTAACAGATCTGCACTTCCCTGAATCAATGCTAGCAGGAAACTGAACGCTGTCAGATCAAATGTGCTGTGTTCTGTGTTGCACAAGAGCTAAGAAAGGTGAGTTACCATAGTTAACAAGTTATCATACATGGGTGGAGGTCCAGTACACTTTGGTATGCACTCCTAAACAGAGGTAAGTATCAACTAATTTGAGTTACCTTAACCTTCTCTTCTTCTGGGCTAAACTGATTAAAATCACTTCCTACTTGTTTGTACAACACACACACAGAGTTACTGGAGGTCAGGTAGGCAGTACCAGAAGCTTCAGAATTTTTTTTTTAAATGTCTCCGAGCGCAAGTTTGGAAGTTGTGTTGTATACTGGCTGGCAGTCAAGTGGGTTTGGGTTATCAAAATTTTGTCTGCTGTAACTGACTTGCGCCTGGGTTGGTAGCAATTTCTTCAACCCGCACATTTCATAGTTTAATCTTCCGTGGCTCAGAGCAATCAGCACATCGATACTGATGACACAAAATACTCAGCTGATATATTTAAGTCTGAGTGAGAAATACTTCAAGATCAGTATTTGTACCAAATCACAGGATTGAAATATTCCAGGTCACTTAATCGTCTCTCAACTTCCCACATCATCCCACAAGACAGAAAGGAGTGGTTTGGCGGGGTTTTTTACCTCAGTGTCTGTATCTCTGCAAGCCTCGATGTCGCTGCTATTAGGGAAGTATTTTTCATCGGTTTCAACTGTCTGCCAGTAAAATCCATTTGGCACCACAAACACCTTCTCCGCTGCCTGGAATGCACAAAGGACATCTCTTACCTGTATGGTATCTTGATCCCTCAAAATAAAGGCCTAGGAAAAAATAGTATTTTATAGCTAGAGAGCATGTAAGGATGCACATTTATGGATTAAACTCATTAATCCAGTGTCATTAATCTACCATTTGCTTTCTTACAACCATACCGCTAGCTCCAATTAAGTGATATCTCAAGAATATGAATCTGCAACTGCTTCCTGGGAGCCTGAAGGTTCCCAGGGTCCAACCCAGGGACCCTCCAGCATACCCACTGACAGGAACAGGAGTCACATGCAAAAGGCTCTGCAGGATCAGGCTGAGCAGCTCGAGACCTTGATTCTCCACGATTGCGCTGAACATCCAGCAGAAAAGGGCTTTGTTAAAGGAACGCTCTAACTGATCAAACAGAAGGGAAGGGAAAGAATTGCCTGAGCTTCTGCATGCTCGTAACCAAAACAGGATATGTCTCTTGTGCTCATGTCACCATAAGTGACGCATATCTGTAAGTCTTGTTGTGCCACACATGGATAGGCAAAAAGACCCTGGCATTTAGGTCACAGCTCTACAGAAATGTAGCATTTCCCAACCTCAGCACCTTATTCTGCTTCTCATACATTTTCTGGGCAGCCAAGCAAGCAACTTGTACAAGTGCAAGTTTAAGGATGTGTCACTCATGAGAATTTGCTGTGACTGCACGCTCAGTAAGCAAGGCCATAGTTCAGGATCAAACACCGCTTTTAAGCCATGTTTGTCAAGTTCTGGTTTGGGAAGAAGCGATGTTCATAGCTATGCCACAATTGAGCATTCCAGAAAAACGGATGCATTTAGGTAGAGTTCACATTGGGCAGGATTCATTCCAAAGTTGGAAAAAAAAACAAACAAAAACCCCAACTGTCACTTTTTTAGGTTCAGGTGGTGTAAGTCAGAGTAGCTTCACTATTTTTAAAGACTCTACTTTGATTCACAGGAGTCATTAATCTTTCCTCATCTTGTGGACAGACCTTTTAAAAAAGAAGAAAAGGAATTAGATTTCAACACAGTCTCATCAGGACTTTTATTATGGATAGAAAACAGACTAACACTGCATGAAGAAGCATCCACTCTGGATTATGAGGTACATATAATGCTGTTTTAATTGCGTAATCACCCAAGAGATTTATTTTTTGCACTGCTTCGCAAGCAATAGGCACTTCATATCATTCTACAAATGTTTAAAAACAACCACTAGAAAATGAAATTAAATTTGAATAATATTAAAAAAAACCTTCTGACATCTGCCTTTCTACTTCGGCAACTTTTTGTGTATTTTCCTTCCTCTATTTCCTGTGCTTCATGAGATGTTTGCCTAAAAGCAGAACTGGGGATTTCACTTTTCACCTGGTTTCGGTCAACACAACTACACCAAACCAAGAGCTGTGACATCTCTCAATGAATTTGTCCATTTTGCCCTGCAATTCATCATTCACCAGCCTCCACTTGTGATATTGCACTTGGTTGCTGTGGAAAATATTAGAGGAAAAGTAAGACATCATTGATTTAAGGAAACAGAAGATCTTCGCTGTTTCCAGTGTTTGCTGCCAGCTCCTGCGCGCAACCCTGGCACGACACAGTGAGCACAGACAGGCCCTGTAAATAGGGATGCAGCAAGACCCCAGTCTTCTGGGGTTCAAGCTGTTCCTTGAACGATCCTCAAGTCTATAAGAAGGAAAAGAGAAAGGACAAATACGGTCAAACCAATTCCATCCTCCATTTCCATAGAACCCTTCATTATAGTCATCTGGCCCCAGGTAGGACACAGAGGATGCAAGTTGGGAAATCCAAGGTAAAAAGCTGACCTTTAGGAAGTACCATGGTGCAAGCTGTGGGTCAGCTGTGATCCCAGGCACGCTGATGCATGGTCGGCCTCCCTCCCCACCAGAGCAGGGATCTGGCCACATCTATCAGGGAACCAAGGCCTGTGGAAAACTGTTACCGTGATCTGTCAGATTCTGTTTTCTAGCAGCCAGCCTCAATATGATTTCATAAAGCAACAGAAAATAAGCTTGGAAAGTCTTAGTTCTCCTAGAAAATCCTTTTCCTCATGGGTAAGAAAATACACATAGATGGCTGCAGTGCAACAGCCCCTGCTTTTTCCAGTCTAGCTGAAATGTGCCAGTGGAGAACTCATGACACTGCCTTCCTGTGCAATGCGCAGGAAAAACAGGAAAACAGCAACTTTCCCATGTGCACAGGAGAGAATTGCATCGAGTCAGCTGTTTTACAATATTGAGATGAGCCCTATTTGTCCTACAATGCAGAGGGACCCTCCACAGGCAGGCAGCATGACCCCACTCTTACTGAAATAATTTTGGTGATTTTGAGACTATCTTTATGCTTACTTTGGTGCTACTTTTAATGTTGCACAATGAGAGAGAGGGGAGGTGTGAGAATTGTACTGGTTTCACCTCCGGGCTGGTTCTTCTCTTACACCTCCAACAACATTACAGTAGCTGCAAAGCTTCTGTGCGAACACAGCAGTTCAGAAAGTCTCTCCCAGGATAGCCGATACATCATCTCCGAATGCTGACCTGTCTCTTGGCGGGGAGGAGAGGCGGCTCCCTCCCCACACACTGCACAGAA